TCTTTATTTTGTAACTTACAATCACCTTTTAATTTGTCCTCCAAAAGTTAATTATAATTGGTGACTGCTTTTCTTAGATATTTCTCTGGTGTCCAAGAAAGGGGAGTAATTTAGCCCTTGATTTAAAAACCCCTAAGGGAGTGAGAGGACCTTAACTGCAGATACTATTCCATTGTGACACTGCGGCTGTAAGTCTTCTCTGTTGTCCTCCCCAGATGTTTTGTTGATGGCTGAAGTAGCCGACAGTTTTGTATTTACACGGTCAAAACGAGTGCTTCTGCTTGATTCACAGATTCTCCGAGGTTCCTGTGCAGCCATACCACCTCCTGTCTTGGCACTTCATAGTTGTCTCATTGAGTCCAAGGCTGCCTCCTGAGGGTCTAGTTGGTAGACCATGAAGTTGATTCCTGCCTTAAGCGTAGCTCTGCCAGCAGTTGTCCTATATTCTCACCAGTCACATTTTTGGTACTGGAACGGTGCTTTTTATAGTATACTTGTAAGTGGATGCTGAAATCACAACCTGGCTATTTGGATGTCCAACAAATGCTTTATGCTGCTGAGTCCTTGGAACTCACCACCCCGTGCCGGAACTCACCGGAGCTCAGGTGTGTGGCGCTACCTTGTTTCTCTGTGACTGAGTTTTTGTTTTTTGAGACAAGGTCTCAATCTGTCACACAGGCAGGAGTGTGATCATTGGTCACGGCAGCCTTGACCTCATGGGTTCAAGCCGTCTCACCTCAGCCTCCCAAAGTGCTGGGAGTAAAAGCGTGAGCCACCACACTTGGCCTACTTTTGAGCTTTGAGTTCTTTATATACTCTAGAGATGAGTCTTTGGTCTGATAGGTGGTTTGTAAACATTTTCCCCAATCTGTAGCTTATCTTTCCATCTTCTTAGTAGAGTCTTTCAGATAGCAAAAATATGATCTCTCTTGCAAATACTCTGCCTCTGTAGCAGGCAAGCAGCCACAGACTACATAAATGAATGTCGGTGGATCCCTTGAGTAAGTGTCATTCGTGGTAAACGTATCTCTAGACAGATCAGTGCTGAGAGGCTATTTCATTCTTAAATAATAGTTGAGCTGGGTATACACGCTAACCTCATGCTTATTTTCTCTTACTCCACTGTTTTCTGCTGTTGCTGGTGGGAGATGGATTATCAACATGTTCTTCCTTCTTTCCACCCTCTTCAGTAGCTTTTAGGACTTTTGGTTTTTTCTGCAATTTTGTTCTGATGGGTCTTGGTATGGATGGATTTACTGTATTGGGGATTGTGCCTCCTGACTCGAAAGGGTCCTGTGTCTGTTTTCATTCTGGAATTTTTTTTTTTTTTTTTTTTGAGACGGAGTCTTGCTCTGTCGTTCAGGCTGGAGCACAGTGGTGCAATCTCAGCTCGCTGCAACCTCCACCTCCTGTTCTCCTGCCTCAGCCTCCTGACTAGCTGGGATTACAGGAGCACACCACCATACCCGGCTAATTTTTGTATTTTTAGTAGAGACGGGGGTTTCACCATGTTGGCCAGGCTGGTCTCAAACTCCTGACTTCAAGCGATCTGCGCATCTTGGCCTCCCTCGGCTTCCCAAAGTGCTGGGATTACAGGCATGAGCCACCACACCTGGCATTTCTTTTAGACATGTTGGATCCTCTTATTTCATCCTCCCTTTGTCATATTTTCCAATTCATTAATTTTCTCTTCTGCCGTTAAGGTTTTAAATGTCTGAACGGCAGCTACTAATTCTGGCATCTGAAGCTCTTGGAAGTCTACTCGTGTTGTTGTCACTGACTTCTATGCCATTTTATTGGGGCTTTGGCTGTGGGAATCATGCAGCACTGGATGAAGGAGCTCTCAGCACGTGGGATCTGGTGCTATCTCAAGGTAGCTAGTGATAGAACTGAATTACAGGGACACCCTGGTAGTAGGGACAACACACATTTGGTCACAGAAGTCATCCGCTGTGTTGATGATGGTTGTGGTATGAGAGCAGAGGGAAAACAGGGCTGAGTATTTTCCCTAAACAGTGGTATACATTCAAATCCCTCATGAGGCTAGGCACGATGGCTCATGCCTGTCATTCTAGCACTTTGGGAGGCTGAGGCAGGAGAATCGCTGGAACCCAGGAGGTGGAAGTTGCAGTGAGCCAAGATTGCGCCACGGCACTCCAGCCTGGGTGACAGAGTGAGACTGTCCCAAAAAAGAAAAAGCCCTAGTGGCAAATTTTCAAGAGGTGACTTGATGTGGCTCTCTGGACACTTAGCTTAGTAGGGGATAGAGAATCCATTTACACTGATAGAAGGAGCACCTGAGGCTGGGTGGTTCATAAATAAGAGAGGTAATTGGCTGACAGTTCTACAAGCTGTACAAGCACGGCTCCAGCATTTGCTGGGCTTCTGGGAGGCCGCAGGAAGCTTACACTCATGGCAGGAGGAGAGAGTACAAACACAGAGAGGAGGTGCCAGGGCCTTATGTGAACTAATAGAGCAAGAATTTAGTCTTCACCAAACGGAGGGCACTAGGCCATCCATGAGGCAGGCACTCCCTTGAGGGGACACACATCTAAACTGTCAGGCAGCATGTGGCAGTCGCTGGGGCTCCCTATCTTAATAAACGTTTTGACTCCTAGCTCCTTGAATGACAATTATTTGTCCTCCCTGGTGAGAGAAAGGGACTGGTTTTCCCTCTGGGCTGGGGGGCAGAGTGCCAGATGGCTGGGGCAGCTTACCACACTGTGGAGGAGGGGCCAGGGGCACAAAGCCCCGGGCACACAGGTGGATGTAGGCGGCCACGAGGTTGCAGGCAGGCTGGAGCTCCCGGGTGCCACAGCCGTCCTGCACACACAGGCTGAGGAATGGTGTAGGGTCTACCTGAAATCAGGGGCACCCAGTCACTGTCCACACCCTGGGGAGTGGCAAGGAGGAAGGGCCTAGGCTAGATCAGGAAAAGGGCCTTCTGCACCCCACGGGCCAGGCTTACACTCACCACCCAGAAGCAGTTCCTCAAGCTGGAGTGGGGGTCCTCGAAGAAGGCCCGGCAGGTGGGGCTCTGTTCTCGGCAGGCCTGCTGACTCTTCTTAGTGGCCCTGCAGTCACCACCCACCTGGCAGGACAGACACAAGACTCAGGCCTCCTGCTGGACCATGTGGCTCCCCAACATACACTGGCCTCAGCAGGAGACTTCCCCTAAACCCTGGGCCTACGAAGTCCTCTGCAGAGCAATCAGGCCGCCTGCCTCTCCCAGGACTCTGCAGGGAGCAGCCCTCAAGAACCTCGGGTGCACCCACTCACCTGCCAGGCCAGGCTGAGCTCCTCCAGGCTGTGGGCCACAGAGCCGTCTGGCAACATCAGCTCATTGCCTGCTTCATTGTCATTGGTGCCTAGAAGACCAGCAGATATGCCTGTGGGGAGGAGAGAAGCTGAGGTGGCGGTAAGAGCCTGTGATCCTCCCGCAGCCACAGCCCTGCTGCCTTGGGACCTGTGTGTGAGATGAATCGAGGCACACAGGAGCAATAGAATCCCACCACCTCCACACTGGACTCCTGGAGCCCGGGCCCTGGCTCGAAACCCTCATCAGAGGAGGAAGAGAAAGCGCAGGGGCTCAGGAGAGCATGTGTACACCCCTATCCCCTCCCCATGTCCTCAGCTCCAGTGGCTGAAATCCAGGCCCTTTGTGCTCCTTGGCAGAGGGAACACAGATGGGCCAACTCCACACTGGAGCTGCGTGTCCCAGGGATGGGGCAGAAAGCTCTGGGCCTCTGTGCGGTCATCTGGACACGGGGTCAATAGCATAAGGCTAGATGAGTGAGGGCACACACGCTGCCAGGCTAGAGACGAGGCTGGCAGAGGCTCTGCATGCACGGTTGCCGCCTGTCGCCCTGGAAGCTTAAAGTGGTACATCCCAGAGAGACCTTTGTAGGTGGGGCCAACCCTGCTGGGGCCCAGACCCACCATGGTGCCAGAGGCCCAGAGTCAGGCTGCAGAGGCCGGTGGGCACGTCACAGGAGACAGAGACCCCGTCCTCACTGGCCAGCTCAATCCTGGGGATGTTCCTCCTTGTCGTAGGATGCAGCTTGAGGTCCGGACAGCTCTCCCCCGGCACGGAGGAGTTGTACAGTCTGTAGGCCTGTGGGCCAGAGGGGACTGGGCAGGAAATCTGACCCACAGCCAGGTGACAAACTTGAAAGTACCATCCCCCTCAGGCGACCTGCCATGGGCACAGGTCTCCAGGGGAGGCTGCCGTGCCTCCCCAGCTCACCTGCAGACTGGGGTAGAAGACGAGGGTCATGTGGTTTAGCTCCACGGACAGGGCCGTGAGCCCTGAGCCTGTCCGACTCAGTGTCAGCGAGAATGTGTTGTGAGCAAAGTCCTGGGCCAGGAGGATGCTGCCGCACTGGGCGCTGAGGTCCCATACCTGGCCATCGAAGGTCACCACGTGCTGGGCCCCGGCTACCAGGGCATGATCTGGGGAGGAAAAGCCCAAAGGCAGTGTGAGGCCAGCTCCACTCACCCACTGCAGTGGGAGCCCAGCGCCTGCCAGGCACCCCGATACCTAGAGCCTTGGCTTAGCCTGCCCTGAGGCCAGGATTCCCCCTCCCCTGCTGCAGGAGTCCGAGGTCCAGGGATTCCCCCACCGGCTTCAAGGTGGCTTAGAGCTGAAGGTCTATGGCCAATTCAGCCCTAACGACGAATGGAGTCCTGAGACCCGCTACAAAAATACTGTGCTAAGTAAAAAAGCCTGGCTCAAATGCCACATAGGTTTTGCTTGTATTTACATAAAATGTCCAGAGCAGGCATAGCCATGGACACAGAAGGCAGATTGGTAGCTGCAGGGTTTCAGTTTAGGCTGATGCATGCACAACTCTGAATAAACTAGAAGCCACTGAATCGCACACTTAAAATTCACACATCGGCCAGGCACGGTGGTGCTAAGCCATCCCAGCACTTTGAGGGGCTGAGGCAGGAGGATCACTTGAGCCCAGAAGGTCCAGGCTACAGTGAGCTGAGATCGCGCCACTGCACTCTAGCCACAACAACAGAGTGAGACCTAGTCTCGAAAAAAAAATTGCACAGATCACACAAGTCATCCATTTAATCTCAATCAAGCTGCTGGGGGTGGGAGAAAAAATATTCACTCTGTCAGTGGATGACCAACGGGTCCCCCAAACACGAGACTAGTATCCTACAGACCTACCCTCTTCAGGGTAGGGAAGAGATGGCCTGAGAAGGAGGTCTGACCGGCCCAGTCAGTGAGCTGTGGCTTGGATGGGGGTGCCCGTGCCCGTGGTCAGAAAGCACCATCTATGGTGCAAAGCCAGGCACCTGTTGGCAAGTCCCAGCATCCTGAGGGAGGCACTACCAGCCCCGTGGTCAGCTGTCAGAACTGAGGGGCACAGAGAAGCCCACAGTCACACACATGGAATTTGAAGACCAGGCTGTTTTCTACACCACCAATGCGCTGCTTAGACATGACTGCGCTCTCGCTTCTTGGGAGCCCTGGGCCTTGGTGTGAGTCCCACACACATAAACCACTCCTTGCCAAGCCTGAGTACCCTGGTTCCCCCAAGGACACGAGGGGCTCCCCCTGCATCAAGAACAGTAGATGCCCATAACCCATATGAGCGAGCCACGTTGTTACCTGCATTTCACGGTGGAGGAAACCGTGTCCCATAGAGGTTAGACTCGCCTGGCCACACAGCAAGCCTGAGCCACACGCAAGCTCCCCAGGGGTCCAGAGCCAGGGCTGGTCCCAGCACAGCCCTTGGCTGCGGGTCACCTCTGACCAGCAAGTCTGAAGTCAGTCAGTTTTCTTCCAGCTGGAACTGGAGGGCTGCCCTTTTCTCCAGCAGCGCCCACAGCGAGGGAGCTGGCCTAAAGTCCTAAACTGCCCTCCTCACCCCTCTGCGGGGCCAGGCCTTAGATTCTGGACAAAAGCAGGATGCGGAGCCTCAGCCCTAGTCCCATAGGACCTTGGGAAGTCCAGTAAGCTCTGGACCTGGTACTGTGATGCCACCAGCCTATGGAGGCTTCCCTGTGCCCACGGGGCAGGGGACTCCCCAGGGAGGAGGGCAGCACAGCCCAGGGCAGGACTCACACTCCCAGGGGCCCTCCAGCAGGCGGCGTCTGAGCCGGTAGTACTCGGCCAGCACGTTAGCCCCAGACAGCTCTCGGAGCGGCCGCAGCAGCTTCTCCACCAGGTAGCTGGTCACCTGGGCCACATCCAGGGGCTCGTCCCCCGCAGGCAGCAGTGGCAGTGTCACCACCACTGAGCGATTTCTGGAGGGAACGCAGAGGACAAGTCACTGTGCCTGCCCGAGCCTTGCTTCCCTTGGCTGCAGAGGGGAGCTCCCAGGTCCGCAGGAAGAGCTTTGCAGTGGAGAGCATGGGGGTGCCTCCCAGGGAGGGGCTGTGCTTGTCTTGGGAAATCCCATCATGAGGTGGAGGAGGACAGAGGCCAGCATGACAGCGCAGGTGGTGGATGATGCCAGGGACAGAAACAAGCTGCCCCATTTTTGAGGACACAGATGTCTGATGCCATGGCTGCTCTGCCCCCTGGGTCATGGGCAGCATGGGCTTATGTGTGGGGATGCTGAGGACAAGAGTTGGAAGGTCTAGAAAATTTTTTTGTTTTTTTTAAGACAGAATCTCACTCTGTCACCCAGGCTGGAGTGTAGTGGCACGATCTTGACTCACTACAACCTCTGCCTCCCAGGTTTAAGTGATTCTCCTGCCTCAGCCTCCCAAGTAGATGAGACTACAGGCACCCACCGCCATGTCCGTCTAATTTTTGTATTTTTAGTAGAGTTGGAGTTTCACCACATTGGCCAGGCTGGTCTTGAACTCCTGACCTCAAGTGATCTGCCCACCTCGGCCTCCCAAAGTGCTAGGATTACAGGTGTGAGCCACTGTGCCTGGCCAACAGGTCTAGGAAATTTCTACAGTTAGGAGAGGACGGGAACTTTCTCAGGATCTAGAGTGGGGTCAAGCCTGTGAGATTTGGATGATCAGGGAGATCTCAGCTCACGTGGGGGTGTAGTGGGAATAGAAACATGGCATAGCCTGTTGCTGATGGGCCGGTGGAAGGGCGCAGGGGCAGGCAGCCTCATTTGCCTACTTCTAGGAAGCCCAGAGGCTCTGCAGCTGGGGGCAGGAAACAGCCTCAGCCCCTTTCCTGCCACTTGAATCCATTTTTTGGCACCCCCACCTAGCAGTGACTGGATCCCACTCACCAGGTAGGTGAGCAACCAGGCAGGTCATTCTTCAGCCAAGCCACAGCCCCGCCCTCGGAGCTCTTCCCTTCATCAGCCTCCATTCTGACGCAAGAGGGCAGGAGCAGTAATTTGTATTACATGGAGCCCCTTCCCCATGAGGTGGGTTTAGTCCCTATTTTATGGCTGGGGAAACAGGCACAGAGAGCTGATGCAGAAGAATCCTAATTAGAGGCAAAGCTGGATTCCAGATGTTCTACGAGGCCACCAGCATGGAAGAAGGGAGCTGCCTGCCTGCCTGGAGCCAGGTTCCTAGTGGGTCTCGTGCCTGTGAGGGGAAAGGATACTGGGTCCCCAGGTCCCTGCTCTAAACTGGGCTCCCCACATCTATCCACCACCCCTGTGTCCTCATCAACACGGGGGCCAAAGGGGTCTTTTAAAGTGAAAGGGTGATCACATCCTTCCTAGGTCAGAGCAGAAGCTAGAGACCACTCAAGCCTCCCCCAGAGTCTTGGGATCTCCCAGTCATATCCATTCTCCCTTGCAGGCATTCTGCTCCAGCCCCGCCAGCTTGATATTCAAATAGACCGGGCCAGGCCTGGTGGCTTATGCCTGTAATCCCAGCACTTTGAGAGGCCGAGTCACTTGAATCCAGGAATCTGAGACCAGCCTAATATGGTGAAACCCCGTCTCTACTAAAAATACAAAAATTAGCTGGGCATGGTGGCAAATGCTTGTAATCCCAGCTACTTGGGAGGCTAAGGCAGGAGAATGACTTGAACTTGGGAGGCAGAGATTGCAGTGAGCTGAGATCACACCACTGCACTCCAGCCTGGGCAACAGAGAATAAGACTCCATCTCAAAAACAGGCTGGCTGGCCGTGGTGGCTCACGCCTGTAATCCCAGCACTTTGGGAGGCTGAGGTGGGCGGATTATGAGGTCAGGAGATCGAGACAATCCTGGCCAACAAGGTGAAACCCTGTCTCTACTAAAAATACAAAAATTAGCCGGGCGTGGTGGTGGGGTGCCTGTAGTCCCAGCTATTCAGCAGGCTGAGGCAGGAGAATGGAGTGAACCTGGGAGGCAGAGCTTGCAGTGAGCCGAAATCATGCCACTGCACTCCAGCTTGGGTGATAGAGCGAGACTCTGTCTCAAAACAAAACAAAAAAACAGGCCAGGCACATGCATCTCCCAGGCCTTTGTGCACTGGTGACCCCCACCTGGAGCGCTCTTCCCACGCTGGCCCTGTGGCTCTTGCTGAAACTCTACCTTTTCAAAGCCAGCCATGGCCACACCGTTTCTTAGGATCCGCCCCCCATCTCACCGATGTTCCTTCTCTAGCGTTTGCCACCTGATGTATAGCTCAGGGGTGGTAAATGGTGACCAGTGTGCCCCGGCCTGTGGCTGACTTCTGCACGGCCGGCAAGTAAGAAGGGTTTTTATGTGCTAAAAAGATTAGTCCAAAACAGGCCAGGTGCGGTAGCTCATGCCTGTAATCCCAACATTTGGGAGGCCAAGGCGGGTGGATCACCTAAGGTCAGGAGTTTGAGACCAGCATGACCAACATGGCAAAACCCTGTCTTTACTAAAAATACAAAAAATTAGCTGGGTGTGATGGCACGTGCACCTGTAGTCCCAGTGCCTGCTACTAGGGAGGCTGAAGCAGGAGAATGACTTGAACTCAGGAAGCAGAGGTTGCAGTGAGCCAAGATTGTGCCACTGTACCCCAGCCTGGACAACAAGAGCAAAACTCCATCTCAAAAAAAAAAAAAAAAAAAAAAAGAGAGAATTTACAAAACAAAAAGCAAGGAAATGTGATAAAGCTGAATGGCCTGCTTAAGATGCGACTCTCAGGCCCTCTGCGGGGAGCTGTGCAAGGCCTGGTGTAGATGACTTCCCTGTGCTTCGTGTCTGGGTAAAAGTGAGTTTCCTGAAGGCAGGGTTGGCCTCAGCCACTGTGCTCTCTGTAGCTCCTAAAATCCTGCCTGCCCTGGGCCGGTGCTCACAAGCTATCTATGGAGTGAGGAAGAAAGCCCAGCTTCCTCATCTGTAAAAGGAGGACGGAAGAAGCCTCTGGGCAGGGCGGTCACAGGAATCGGTGAGTGGCGAGTGTCAAAGCATTCAGCACTACACCTGGTATATGGCAGGCACGCAACACGCGCCACTCAAAGCTCGAGTTACCTGGCCGAGAGGCTGCACAGGTCCAGCAGGGGTTTGCAGAGCCTCTTCAGTGCCCGTGAGAACGTGGCCTCAGCCCAGGACAGCATCTGGTGGGCGGCCTGGAGAGGGAGGGGACAGTCAGAGCTGGCTCAGGCGTCCTCACCTGCCAGCCGTGCCCCATCCTTGCTCCCACTCACCAGCTCCAGGGTTCCTTTCACCGCCCCCAGGGCCACCCTGATGGGCCTTGGACCCCCATTGCCTGGCATCCCGGGCACCCAGGCCTGCAGCCGCCGCATGGCCTCCTCTGCCCGCTCCCGCCACACCTCCTCCAGGGGCCGCAGTGTCACCTCCAGGTAGGCGTCCTTCAGTGTGGCCAGGGGCCCTGCAACAGGCAGCCACCACCCACCGTGAGTCCTCAGGGCAGTTCAGAGAACCAGATAGCACAGGCCTCGAGGGGATAGGGCCTGTTCCTGCGATGAAGATGAGGGGAACCGGGGGAACAGGAATAGAGTAGTGGGCACTGGAGATTGCAGGGGAGTTCTCAAAAACGGCAGCCCTGAAACTCCTCTGCAAGGCCTGCTGATAAGGTTGTCTGGGAACTTGGATTGGGGGAGAGTTGCCACCAATCCTAGAATTGATAGGAGGCTGCCTGCATCTGAACTGTTTGTACAACATGGTTTATGGTGGACCCGTGCTTGCCTCCTAGGAGTCTGACAATGTGGTCTGTGCCAAGTGGCACCTGCCAGTGTAGCAGCCCCAGTAAAAACCTGGGTGCTGAGTCTCCCAGGAGCTGCTCTGGTGATAGCTGGGACAGCTACATGCATCCTGTGTGAAGGCGCTGGACTGGGAGAGGACACTGGGCACTGGCCCTGGTTTTCCCTAGACTCTGCCCCAGCCCCCGTCCCTGTGTTGACCCTCCTGCATCCCCTCACTATAATAAAACACAGCCGTGAATAGCACGGTGAGGAGTCCTGGGGCACTCCCCCCAATTCACTGCCCTGGGGGCGGCCACAGGAACACTCTGGCACAGCAGGGAAGATGCAGAGGTAACATTCAACAGCCAGTCAGAGGGATGTCCACCCTGGCGCTGGGCAGGGCCTTGGGGGCTCTGCTGTGCTGGGCATTAGCCTGGATGGCGGAGAGGCCAGAGGTTCCCAGTCCTGCCAGGAGGCCACTTGGAGCAGCAGGTGTGAGCGTTTACCAACCACATGGCCACATTGAGCTCATCGTGGAACCAGAAAGAGATGCTGTGGCAGTGAGCTTCACAGAAACAAGGCCGTATACTCAAAGCAGGCGGCAGACTGAAAAAACCTAGGCAGCAGGCGTAAGGGATATGAGCTTGGACACCCTATAAGAATGACACAGCAGACCAAGAAAAAACGAAGGCTGTAGAGCTGTAAGAAATAAGGCAGGGGGCTAAACACAGCTGGGCTGCAGGCCCACGGGAAGCGAGGCCACCTTTCTGACTGAAGCAGTGGCACAGGCCAATGTGAGCGCTTAGGGCCCGGGGCGGGGCATTAATTTCCACACGGGGTTGAGCCCTCCCCTCCCGCACTCACATTCCAGCTCATCCCGCAGCTGCTCCAGCCCCACCTGCAGCCACTCCAGGTAAAGAGGCAGGTGCTGGGTCAGTGCCTGGCTCCGGGCCCACAAAGTGGCTACCGCCCAACCACTGGCCTGCACAGCCTCCCGCCCCGCCTGGGACAGCTGCAGAAGGAGGCCTGCCACGCCGTCCAGGGTGCCTGCCGGCTGCACCTGGGCAGGGAAACCGAGGCAGAAGCAGGGTGAGGTCCAGGGCAGAGAGAGCCCCAGACCCTCCCGCCTGGTGAGTGGGTGCTACAAGCCAGGCCAGAGGGGGAGCTCTCCACCCTGGGCCCCCACCCTCCCCTCCCGTGCTACCCACCAATTGCTGGAACCTTCTCACAGAGGCACCCAAGCCTTGAATCTTCTCTTCCAGTTGGGCTTGCACCTGGGAGCCAACTGCTGTGATCCTGGACTGTGAGGACAGAGGAAGAGGCTGGGGCCTTGTAGGAATGAAGTAGACAAGGTTCTTGGTGCCAGCGGCAGGTGTGGGCCTCACCCTGGGGTCGTCTGCCCTGGTTTCTGGGCACAGCTGGACCCCAAGGGCTCAGGGCTCCTGGCACGGGGGCCTCTGCCCAGGAAGAGAATGGTAACCCTTTCCCTGTGTCCCAGCCCAGGCCTTCTTACCTCCACATGGCCCAGCAGGGCCCCCTGACAGCCGTGCGCAGCCAGCAGGAGGCTCTGGTTGGCAGCCTGCAGGGTCAGGCGTCCCAGCGGCTGGAAGGGCTGCCTGCCATCCCGGAACAGGACCTCCGCCTCAGCTGTCCGCCCGTGGGCACATGCCCGCAGCACCACACTCTCCTCTCTGCCCCCTGGAGCCAGAAAAGGACCTGCTGGTGCCCCCACCATATCTCTCGTGGCCCACTCCTCCTCCACCGCTTTCTGTAGCTCCCCACTGCCCCAGGCCAAGCCTCAAGGCCCTAGGATTTGAGAACCTTGAGCTGCACCAACTAAATCAACTTCCTGAGCGACCTGAAGCCCCCTCTTCTGTCCCCTCCCCCGACATGGCAGTCAGGGATGCCATGAAGTCCTAATGGGGTTTCCTGAGTTTTTTTTTGAGACACCAAGGCAGGAGTACAGGGACAGGATCCCAGCTCACTCCCAGCAGCTGGGATAGGAACCCATCACCCCCACCCCACCAGGTTGTTTTTCTTTGCTCTGTCGCCCAGGCTGGAGTGCAGTGGCACGCTCTCAATCTTGGCTCATTGCAAGCTCCGCCTCCTGGTTTCACGCCATTCTCCTGCCTCAGCCTCCCGAGTAGCTGGGACTACAGGCGCCTGCCACCACGCCCGTCTAATTTTTTGTGTTTTTAGTAGAGACGGGGTTTCACCGTGTTAGCCAGGATGGTCTTGATCTCCTGACCTCATGATCCTCCTGCCTTGGCCTCCCAAAGTGCTGGGATTACAGGCGTGAGCCACCGCACCTGGCCGACCCCCCCACTTTTTTTTAAAGTAGAGACAGGGTCTCACTGTGTTGCCCAGACTGGTCCTGAACTCCTGACGTCAAGCAGTTCTCCCATCTCGGCCTCCCCAAGTGCTAGGATTACAGGTATGAGCCCCCACACCCAGCCCTGACTTCTGAGATCTTAATGCCCAGACCCCTGTCCTTTCTTGAGCCAACAGGGGCCGTAGCCCAGCTAGCTGAGCTGGGACCCAGCTGCCACTCACCCTCCTCATGCGCCACAGAGGCCTGGAGACAGCTTGGGGCCCGGAACACAGACAGTCTCACTTTCTGCTCTCTGTTGTCCACATTTCCCTCCAATCGGACCAGGCTTTGAGAAGCCGAGGTGGAGACACGGCCCAGTAGGCCAACCTGCTGAGCCTTGGAGCCACGAAGCTGGGAGGGGGACGGCAGAGACCTGAGTGGAGTCTGACCCAGGCCCTGTCCCTGGTCTCTCCCCTGCCCGCTCCAGGCTCAGGAAGGGGCTGGCTAGGGAGGCTGTGGTTGGACCTGTAGGGAACCGAGGGAAGGCACAATACCCATGCAGGACCTCCAGGGCACCAGGTTCTCCAAGCCATATCCCTACCTAAGGCTCCCAGTGCCGCATTACAGAAAGCACTTATGAGTATACTCAGGGCCGGGCGCAAGGGCTCACTCCTGTAATCCCAGCACTTCAGGAGGCCAAAGTTGGTGGATCGCTTGAGCCCAGGCGTTTCAGACCAGCCTGGGCCACAAGGCAAAAACCCTGCCTCTACCAAAAATATAAAACTCGGCCAGTCTCATAAGAAATCATTTTTAAAATACCCATCTAGGAGCCCACCAACCCAGCAGCAGCCACCCACAGGGTGGCCGAGAGATGGCTGCTGCCCAGACCCTGCCCAGACACTCTGATTTAATTGGTTTTGGGGGGCCCTGGGCCCTGGCATTTCTAACATTCCCAGTGCCCTGGTGTTTCTGCTACAGCCCAGGCTTTCCGAGTTTGCATGGGAACCACTGCAAAGGTCTAAGCAAGTTCAAGGAGACGTGGGTACACCTGGCATAACACCCCAGGCACTGGGCAGTTTACCTAAATCCCTGCAGGCGCCCAACCTTGGGGGCATGGCAGGGACTAGGACAGGTGAGTCTAGAATGGGGTGGGAGAGAGGCTCAGAGGCCCCAAGAGAACACAAGCCTGGAGGAGGCCCTGCAGGGGAGGGAGGCTCAGCTACCCTGTATTCTAGTCCAGACACTGCAGCTAACAAGCTGTGCACCCTTCAGTAAGGGTGTCACCCTCCCTAGGCCTCAGCTCCAAGATCTGTAAAATGATACAGAACAATGGTTCACAAAACTTAGCAGGACGTGAGTGTGTGTGTGCACGTGTGTCTGTCATGGGTTGAATTTTCTTCCTAAGATATGTTGAAGTCCTAACCCTCTATACCCGTGAACGTGATGCTATTTAGAAATGGGTTTTTTGCAAAAGTAATCAAGTTGAGGCCATAGTGGGTGAAGGTAGGCCACACACCCAATGAATGCTGTCCCTGTGAGAAGACCATGTGAAGATGCCACCCAGAAGGCAGAAGGCCACCACGTGGGACAGAGGCAGAGACTGGCGTGATGCCACCGCAGCCATGGGTTACACCAGAAGCTAGAGGTGCTACGAAAGGATGTTCTCTAGGACTTTGAGAGGCAGTGTGGCCCCGCTGACAACTTGCTTTTGGACTTCTGCCCTCTAGAACTGTGACACCATACCTGTCTGCTGCATTAAGCCTTCCAGTTGGTGGCCATTTAATACAGTAGCCCTAGGAATCGAATGCAGGGTGCTTACTAAACATGCAGAAGCATGTCGATCTCTGAGGAGATCCAGGTTGGTAACAGGGCTACAACCCAGGACTCCTGTGGAATGTCACTGAGCACCCATGTGATCCTGCCAGGCAGGCTGGGGCAGGGCACAGTCTGCAGACCACGTGGAGTCGGCCCCGGATGGCTCCCAGCATCTGAGCTCAGCCCCGCTGGCTGTCACTGAAGAGCAAGGGCCACGCCTGCCTCTGTGCAGCCTTGGCAAGTGCCTGACCTCCCTGAATCCGTCCCTCATCTGTCCCAGGGCCACTGAGTTGGGGTGAGGAACAAACAAGGCTGGGAAAGCCTTTTGACCACTCCACAGACCCCAGAATGGAGCAAGTGAGAAGGGGCCAGAGCAGCGGTCCCAAATCAATCGGGCACAGGGAAGCAAGGGGACCGGCCACTTGCTGAGTGTCCACCATGGGTTCACTCCCAGGGCTCCAGTTCCATCGGGCACGGGGTTTACAGAGATGGGGTCAGCCAGGGGCCTGGCTGGAAATGGGGAAGTGACAGTCAGTCCCGAAGAACAAGAACCTTGGAAGGAGAAGCTCCTTTGAAATGGCCACGGTTGCTGAACTCTTAACCCAGAAATGCCATCCTCATCCAGCTCAGATGCCGGGAAGGGAGGGATCTCCCATCTCACAAGCACCTGCCATGTGCAGATGTACAAATGTCTGTTTTCCTCTTAACGATTCTGCAAGGGAGATGGTATTTGTTCCCATTTGACAGAGGGGAAGACTGAGGCTCAGCAAAGTAAAGTCACGAGGTCAAGTTCACCCAGCCAGGGAGATGGGGTGGATGGAAATGCCGACAGGGCACCTGCGATGTCATGTGCCTTGGCTATGCAGGCGGCAGGAACCGGTATCCAGACTCCTAAAACCCACCCTGTGAAATATCTGATTTCACCCTCCTACAGATGAGGAAACAGATGTTCAGAGAGGTTCCTTCCTGGGATCACGATCACCTGGCCAGGTTGGGGTAGAGTAGGCACTGGAGACCAACTCTGCCCCTTCCTACTTCCCAAAGCTACTGGGAGGCAGGCAGGGGAGAAGATGGTGCCAATAATGGCTAATAGCAAATACTTACGTTGTGGCTGTTTTCTCTCAGGCACTGCTCTAAGCGATCTATGCCTATGAATATATTTAATCCTTGCAATATTAACCCCATGGGAGATAGGGCCAGTGCAATTATTATACCCATTTTACAGGGGAGGAAACTCAGGTGCCAGGAGGCAGCTAGGCTGGGATTCAAACTTGGGCAGCCCAGCCTCTGCCTCTTCGTTATAGGAAGGGCCGGGTGTCAGGACTGTGGAGAAGCTGCTTTGTCTTGGTGCCAGGGCCAGGCCTGAGGTTCAGCAGGTGATCCCCCTACCCAGAGTGAAGCTCTGGCCCCATCCAGAATGCTGGTCTGCAGTTCCTCAGATTGCCACTAGATGGCGGGGCCACCCAGGCAGTTGGGGGCCTCCTGGCCAGGAAGGAACGGGAGGGAATCCGGGACATCTTCCCCAGGGACTGTCAGCCCTATCCTGGCCACTGACCTCCAGCACCCCGGAGAAGTCAGTTGAATGAGGCCTGCTGTGGTTTCGGAGGGTCAGGCTGAGGTGCAGGCCGTGGTCTGGGTCTGGTGCGAGGCCCAGGTAGCAGCGGGAACGCAGCAGGAGTCCACCCTGGCCCAGGACGTGCTCCCCGGCGACCAAGAGGGCCTGGGACGAGAGAGTCTAGGTGTCAGGCAGGCACAGGGGGCAGCAGCTTCCTCTCCCCCATCCCCTGCACCAGGAATGCAGCAGCAGCTGCCACCTCCCAGCCTCCACACCTGCCCCAGCTCACAGCTGACCTCTAAGAAATGCAAATCAGACATTGTCCCCTGCACTGAAAACAGAGGCCGGGCTCTGGCATGGCCCGTGGCCTGCTTTACTGTCCCAACCTCACTTCCCTTGCTCCCTCTGTAAGGGCTTCCCCATGTTCCTCAAGGCAGAGTCCTGCCTCAGGCCCCTTCCCTCTGCAGGGCCCACACTCACCAGTGAGGCCCCTTTTGCAACACCCTGCCCCCCTCCCCACTTCGTTCCTGCACAGCGTTTACCACACCCTGACCATAGACCATGCATCTCTAGTTTGTCGTATCTTCCTGGCCCCACTGGAACGTGCCACCCAGGAGGCCGGCACCTGGCCTGTCTCCTTCACTATCCAGTCCCTGCACCCAGAGCACAGCCTGGCATAGGTGAAACACACACATGTTTTCTGAATGAACAGAGGAAAAGATAAGGGGTGGGAAACTACGGTTTGGGGCTGAATCTGGCTCACTGCCCACTCTTGTAAATACTTTGAGACAGAGTTGTGCTGTGTCGCCAGGCTGGAGTACAATGGCGCAAACTCAGCTCACTGCAACCTCCGCCTCCCAAGTTCAAGCGATCCTCCTGCCTCAGCCTCCTGAGTAGCTGGGACTACAGGCGTGTGCCACCACACCCGGCTCATTTTTTCTATTTTTAGTGGACATGGGGTTTCACCGTGTTAGCCAGGATGGTCTCCATTTCCTGACCTCGTGATCCACCCGCCTCAGCCTCCCAAAGTGGTGGAATTACAGGCATGAGCCATTGTGCCTAGACTGTAAATACTTTTACTGGGATATAGCCATATAGATTCATTTACATATCATCTACAGCTGCTTTCACAGGACACTGGTAGAGTTGGTAGTTGCAACACAGACTGGATCGTTCATAAAGGCTAAAATATTTACTATCTGTCTCTTTACAGGAGAGTATGGGTCCTTGGGATGGAGGGATGAATGGATGGACGGACAGATGGACAGGCAGATGAATGGATGTGAGGGAGGGAGGGTTGGAGGATGAATTGATGGAGAGGGAGGGTACGTGGGAGGGCAGAGATAGGGGGATGGATGAAAGATAGGAAAGAGGATGGAAAGATGTGTGAAGGAATGGATGGATGGTTGGTGGATGGAAGAACCAATCAACCCGCTACCAACCCCAGGAGGGGCAAGGGGTTGAGGAGAAGGGGTCCCAACAACCTCCTCTGGGGCAATCATGACTACAGCAGCTCTAACTTATGTGCCCGGCACCAAGGCTGAGCATTCCTGCATCACGTCTCTCTTAACTCTCACCATCACTCTATATCCTGGAACCTGCTGCTCCTTCCATTCCTCAGATGAAACAGCGGAGGCTCAGAGAGGAGATGCGCCCTGCCCAGTCACCCAGCCGGCAAATGGCAGAGCGACCATGCTGGCGTCTGGCTGCCTCACTCACACCCCTGCATTCTGTGGGCACCACCCTCCCTGCTGCCCCCTCACCACGGGTCCCTGGTCCTCCAGCTGTCCCTTTCTGCAGGGCAGACTTACTCTGGGCAGGTCACAGAGCCCCAGCTGGAGGGAGTGCCGCAGCCAGTGTGCATAGTCAGTCTGTACTTCTCCCCGGAAGCTCTGCCGGCTACAAGAGGCCCCGAGGACGTGCTCCAGGGTGGCCTCCGCGATGATCCTGCCTGGCTGAGATGGCCGATGCCTCTGAAATGACAGGGCCCATAGGTCAGGGGCTTATTACCTAAGAGAATGCCCATGGCCAGCTGCAGGTGGAGACCCTCACCTAAGAGCATGTGCCAGGAATCCACCATTAGAGCCCTCATCAGCTGCAGCACCCCCTTACACTCTGGGGCAGGATTTTTTTTTTTTTTTTGAAACAGAGTTTCGCTTTGCTGCCCAGGCTGGAGTACAGTGGCACTATCTCAGCTCACCACAACCTCTACCTTCCGGGTTCAAGCGATTCTCCCACCTCAGCCTCCCAAATAGCTAGGATTACAGGTGCATGCCACTGTACCTGGCTAATTTTTTAATTTTTTAGTAGAGATGGGGTTTTGCCATGTTGGCCAGGCTGGTCTCAAATTCCTGACTTCAGGTGATCCCCCCACCTCAGCCTCCCAGAGTGCTGGGATTACAGGTGTGATTCACCATGGCCTGCCTGTGGCAGGATTTCTCCTGTGAGCACTTAGGGGGCCATGCCTAAGAGCCCCAGGAACCCAGATGGGAGGCCCAGAGGAGGAAGGGGGCTTCCAAGGCCAGCTCTCCCCATTTCTCCATGGCCTGGTTCCTGCCCCAGGCTCTGCAGAACAGTGCTCGGCCCCATCAGGTAGTGATGCTGGAGGAGACCAGACCTGATTCCTTGGGGAACCTGAGCTCCTGATCTCCCTCCGCCCCGTCCTGAGAAACCCATTAGCATCCCATCTCCTTTACTATCTCTTCCCTGCATCTCGTGCTGGGCCCCTTGCTTTTCTTCCAGGGCTTCCAGAGCCCTCACCACATCCCAGTTAGGAAGGGAACTATTTCACAGATGAGAAAACTAAGGCTCACAGCAGAGAAGTGAGTTGCCCAGGATCCCGCAAGCACTGGAACCCAGGACCACGTGGTCCCAGAGCTGGACATTCCTGCTGCAGGTGGAGCTACCTGGGGTTCCCTGCCAGGATGGACGCTGCTGCCCAGACCTCACCTCGTATGTCAAGTTCTGCCGCATGCGGTGTTGGCCCCAGGACAGGTCGAGCTGTTCAATGAACACAGCTGGGGTCTGCATTAAGGCCCCGCAGGCCTGGAGGGTGTCCAGGCCCCAAGCTTCCTGGAGCTGATAGGGAACAGAAGAGGGTACATGACCTGGGGGGCAGCCGAAAAGCCTGGAGCGAGGGCGAGCCCCACACTCGGTGCAGCGGTCAGGCCCCGCATACCTGCCCCGGGGAGGCGGCCAGGCAGCCGTCCCAGGCAGTGCTGTATGCTGAGGACCCATCAGCCCAGGTGAGCTGCAGCGTCGCAGGTTGTCCTTTGTTCCAGGTGAGCTGCACCTGCATTGGGATGGGAGAGCAGTGGTGGGGAAAGGGGGACACATGGGGGAGAGGAGAGGCTAACGCCACCCCCACACCCCATCTCTGTTGGGAAATGAAAGACTAGGGAGGATGTAGAAGCTGGTGCCCCTCCCCCAGATATCCCTAGAGGAACTAGGACGGAGGGTGGAGAGACTGCCCTGCCCGGCCCCCCATCTCTAGAAGAGTCCAGAACCATTCCCAGGCTGGAGATTGAAAGCATTTGGGTGAAAGAAAGGTCTAATCCTCAACATCCAGACTCAGCATTTCCAGAGATAGAAAGCAATCACTCTCCTCAATGGGACCTCCAGGGCCAGCGTGATCTGTCTCTGCCCACCTGACCTCATCTCCCTGTCACCCATCCCCCCAGTCACTCAGCTCCCATCTTATTCCCCTTCCGGTCCTCCCTGAAGCACCCAGCTTGTTCCCACCACAGGGCCGTTGCATGGGCTTTTCCTGCCACCTGCAGTGCTGCTGCTCCAGCTTCTCTCAAGCCCAGCTCCTTTCCATCCCAGAGCCGCCTCCCCAGTGAGGCCCCTACTGACCACCCACCTACAGTAGCTCCCCCACCCACCTGCCCAGTCCCTCTCAATCTCACATCTTTTTTTTTTTTTTTTCTGAGACCGAGTCTCACTCTGTCACCCAGGCTGGAGTGCAGTGGCATGATCTTGGCTCCCTGCAACCTCTACCTCCCGGGCTCAAGTGATTCTCCCGTCTCAGCCTCCCAAGTAGCTGGGATTGCAGGCACACACCACCGCACTCAGCTAATTTTTGTATTTTTAGTAGAGACAGGATTTTACCATGTTGGCTAGGCTGGTCTCGAATTCCTGGTCTCAAGTGATCCGCCCACCTCAGCCTCCCACAGTGCAGGGATTACAGGTGTAAGCCACCGTGCCGGGCTCCTCTTTACTACTTTATGGTGCTTATCACACCTTCTGATTTTTAAATTCATTCCTTGGCTTGAATTCTGGAGAGCATCTTTTGCCTGCACGCAGCTGGCCTATTGTCCTCCCTTTCACAGATGGAAAAACCTGAGTCTCAGAGAGGCGATGGGAGATACCCGAGGCCACCCAGCCAGACGGGGAGCCCAGCTGCCTCACGCCGTCTCCAAAGCTACCCCTAAACAAGCAACTATAAATGATGAATCTGAGATGCCTGTACGTGTTTCCCACATTAAAATGTGAGCTGTCCTCAAACACTGCCTGGTATACAGTAGGTGCTTAATGAGGTATTGATAAAGGAACGATTGAATGATCCCAGAGATCCCCAGCCTTCAGGAAGCTGTGATTCTGGAGAAGTCCTTGTCACTGATGAACACACTCTCCTCCTACCCGAGGTGCCCAGCCCCACAGGCTCAGCCACGTGGCTCCTACCTCCAGCCCTGGCCAAGGGCGCCTGGGACATCCTCACTCACCTGCCGGCTCTGCCTGCCACCCCTGCTCTCAGCAAGGCCACTGGCCTCGGCTTGCCGCCAAGAGAGGTTGAATGGGTGAGCCAGGGCTAGGTGGGCGGCCAGCTCACTCTTCCCCAGCCACAGGGAGGAGGAGACCAGCACCTAGAGAGGGAGACAGACTCAGCCAGTGGCCTTGCCCAGACAGGCCGCACCTCTTTCCCACCCGCACAGAACACCTTCTCCATCAAGGTCAAGGCTGCAAGGGCAGGTGGCTTTGATTACAAAGCATCCCTGTGCAAGGCCCTTGGAGAGCTCAGCCCATTTCACAGAGGAGGAAATTGAGGCTTGGAGAGGAGCAGATGGAGCAAACACAGGACAGAGATGGGACTGGAGGTCACGCTCCTCCTCCAGTGTCTTTCCTTGGCTCTGTGGCCGCGGGCAGGTCGCTGTACCTCTAAGTCCTTCAGTTTTGTCATCTGAACAAGGGGCTATTAATAGCACTGAGCAGATGGGAGGCTGATGTGTGGGTTCACACACAGAACCTATCACAGGATAAGCATTCGGGGCCTGTTAGCCACTGTCATTGCCGTGGCTGTCAAGGTGTTGTGGGGACCCAGGTCTCCTGCTGCCCTCCCAGTGCCTTTCCCACAGTCCCTTTGGGATGTGGTGCAGCCTCGTTGGCCCCAAATAAGGCTCCTCGGGCAGAGGAGGGCCCCCAGGACCCCGCTCAGCCTTCAGGGTGGAGTTCAGCTCTGCCCCAGGGTCACCTTCCGGCCCTGACACCTACCTGGTCCCTGCCATCCCAGCCGACAACCAGGCCATCCCGGTGGCTGCCTCCTGAATGCTCTGAGGACAGGCGGAGGCTGCAGTGTCGTGGCAGGGGGAGGGGCAGCGCGTGGGTGAGCTCCACTGGGTGGGTGAGGACACACACAAAGGGTAGGGCATGTAAGCTGAGGTCAGCAGCTCCAGGGCCAAGGGGGTGCAGGGGACTCAGCTGATGCCAATGCCAGCTCACGCAAGTGGCCACTTGGGGGCCACACACCCTGATAATTTTCACAAAACTCAGAAGCTACACGCTCACTTTGTCAGCATTACCACTCGACACCCCGCACTGTCCCTGTGGGAGCCCTGTTACAATGAGACTCTGAGACCCCTCCAAGAGGTGGCATCTGTCTCCCCAGCCCTTGGACCCGGGTTGGCCTTGTGATGTGCTAACAGAATTCAGTGAAGTTGACCAAGCACCAGTTCTAAGCCCAGGCCTTAAGAGGCCTCAGCCCACTTCCTCCCTTGAACCCATCCAGCCACATGAGAACAAACCCTGCTGGCCTGTGGGCTGGTGCCACCTGCGGTTGGGGAGAGCCTGGTTTCAGCTCAGGATGTCCTAGTGCAGCTGCCAGCCAGCCAGCCCCTAAGCAGGCAGGAGAGCCCAGCCAAGGCCAGCAGAGTCGCCCGCTTACCCTACAGCTGACCTTCACCATGAGGAAGACCAAAAAACTGCCCAGGTGACCCACAGCCTCGTGAGGAAGGAGCTATGCTTGCTCTATGCCGCTGAGTTTCAGAATACTTTGTTACCATCCTGAATCAGGAGCTGACGGGGCCAGCCGCAACCCCAACAGCCTGCATCCCTCCCAGTGGCCTCATATGCACAGGTGACCTGCCCCCCTCGGAAGCCCCACACCCCCATGCCACCGTCTGCTGTCCTGTGCTCTACTTCTAGCTTGGGGTGTGACAGGTGGCACCCCATAGCTGAGTCCTTGCAACAGACGGCCTCCACACCCCGGGTTTTCTTCCTTTGTCCCCCAGGTGAGTCAAGCTGCCCTGACCTCCTGCATCACTTGAGCCCATCTCCTGAGGCCCCTGCGTAGCCCTGCTTTCCTGGACCCCACAGCAGGAGGCTGCCCGAGGTCCCTTTGCACTTTGGTGACCTCTAAGCTCTGTACAAAGGGCACCCACCTGTTCAGATGGGCTGCAGGAGCCGTGCCCAGAGACACTGGTACTGGCTGGTTCTCAGGGCATCACCCAGTCACTGGTTCTGGGGAAGCCGACCACATGCAGGGCTAGAACCCTTTGTTCCTGCCACCTGCTGACTCACGACCTGCAACACTGTGACCACAGTGTGGGGCTGCACGCTGTGTGGCTCACCAAGGGTGGCACAAATAAACACAGGCATGCACACACGTGCATGTATGCACACACACGTACACGTGCACATATACACACATGAGCACACATACATGCATGCACTCTGCCTTGGCATGTTGGGGACCTGCTCACTTTCTCTGCCTTCCAGGGCACACATGTGTCAAACATGACACTGGGAGGATTCTATCAGGCCACCTGGCAAGCCATGCCTCCAGGCTCAGGTCTGTACTCTGTCTCCACACCTGGCAGGTCATGGGTCGGACTCTGATCTGTGCTCTGGGGGTTCCTCGCACAGAAACTGACTCTTGTGGCTGCACAGGCCATGAGTTACAGCCCCTTCCAGGTGTCTCTGGAGGACCCTGGGACTCATGGCTGCCGTCGCTGGCGCTATCCCAGCACTCACCTCCCCTGGCACCAGAACTGCCCAGGGATGCCACCCCTTCCATGCCCTGGCTCCTTCTCTCTGCCCGGATGCACTCACGATGAGCCCCAGCTCCTCTCTGTGAGCTGAGACCCTGCATGACCTGGGTCCCCCAGCCCTCCTGCCTTACCTCATCCTTTCTCCCCATTCCAGCTATGCTAGCCGCGCTGCTGCTGCTCCACATGCAAAGCTCATTTCCATGCGGGACCTTCTGCCTGAAGTGCCTCTGCTCAGATCTGCCCCTCAGTCAGCTCCTTCTCATCCTTCAGACCTCAGTTCAGAAGTCACCTCCTCCAAGAGGCCTTCCCAGACCACCCCACCTAAAGGAGGCCCACACCCCACAAAGACCCTGCTTGCTCTCACAGCCTTTTCCACTCGTGGAAATGGTCAGTTTGATGTTATTTTGCTTATGTGCATCTTGTTGCTCAATACCTGTCTCCCGGAGGGGTGGCACCTGGGCCATCTTGCTTCCTGATGGACCCCTGGTGCCTAGAATCACACCTGGGATATGCAGGTGCTCACTCATGGCTTTTTTGAGACTGAGTGTCACTCTGTTGCCCAGACTGGAGCGCAGTGGCTCAGTCTTGGCTCTCTGCAACCTCTGCCTCCCGGGTTCAAGCAATTCTCCTGCCTCAGCCTCCAAAGTAGCGGGGATTACAGGCGCCCGGCACCATGCCCAGCTAATTTTTGTATTTTTAGTAGAGACGGGGTGTCACCATGTTGGTCAGGCTGGTCTCAAACTCCTGACCTCAAGTGATCCACCCACCTCGGCCTCCCAAAGTGCCAGGATTACAGGCATGAGCCACCGCGCCTGGCCATGAATGATTTCTTGAGTGACTGGGCCACCACTGCCTGCAGCCCCTCACACACTCACCCTGCAGGCTGAGGTTCCTGGTGGGCTTGGGGAAAGGGCCAGAGAGGCTCCCGGTGAGGGCCACCTCCTGGCCATCCCACAGCACCACCTGGCGCAGGACACGGGTCCCATGAGCTCGCTCGTATGTGGTCTGCAGGACCAGCTCCCCGGGAAGGGCGCTGAGCTGGAAGAGAATGATGGCGTCACGGGGGAACCTAACCTACGCTTCTGCCTGGAATGGGAAAGGAGAGAAGCTTGCAGAGGAGGAAAACGGGAGTATTTGTGGATCATTTACAGTTTCCTGCATATGCCAGGGGATCAAAAACCCAAATGCTTCCTAAGGATGAGCAGATAACATAACGTAGGGGAGTGGGTGAGGTGGGTATGGCCAACAGGAGTCAGCACAGAACAGCTACCTCTCAACTCCATGACCAAGCTGTGTGGCTCTGGGCAAGTTTTCCAACCTCTCTGAGCCTCAGTTTCCCAGAAAATGGAGGCAAGAAAGTGTCAACCTCTGCAAGATAATACAAGTGGCGCACCCAGCCCAGGGCTAGACAGTGGAGAGGAACTTGTAGGAGGCACACAGTTGGTAATGGGCTTTCTCTATCATGTAGCGAGCAGGTATTATGTTCCCAACCCAGTGATGAGTGCTGGGTACAAAGCTAGCCAAGACCTGGTCCCGGCCCTCAAGGGGCTCCCAGGGAGATAGTCACAGGACAGGAAATGATGGGACAAGTTGACAAGGATGGTCACAAGAGACATTCAAAGCAAGAGAAGCAAGCTTGGGGAGGAGGCAGGGAAGAGCATTCCAGGCAGATGGAAGAGTCTGTGCAAAGGCTCAGAGACGGACGCCGTCCCTGCTGGTGGGTGCCACCGAGGGTGACTTGAGGGCACTGCAGGGGGACTGTTGGGGTGGAGTAGGAAGTTTGCTCTTAAATGTCTCCAAAACCCATCACTACTGCCCCTAGCTTGGACCACACATTATTATTGCTGTGCCCATTATGGGGCTTCCTCACTGCTCACTTCTGCCACCTGTAGGTCCCTCCCCACACAGCAGTCACAGGGATCTGAAATCATCATTGAGGGATCATGGCCTCAAAGGCTTCTAGTAGCAGACAGAATGCACTACAAACACCTCCCTGTGGCCTGACATACCCTGTGTGATCAGACCACCTCCTACCATTCCCCACCCACCCAGCTCCAGCCCAGTGGCTCCTTGGCCATTCCTAAAACATGCAAACCCATCCCTGCCCCAGGCCCTTTGCATGTCTTGTTCCCTCTGCCTGGAATACTCTTTTTAAAAAATGTGTTTTAGATTCAGGGGGTCACTGTGCATGTTTGTTACATAGGTATATTGTGTAATGGTGGGGACTGGGCTTCTAGCATACCCGTCGTAGCCGTCACCCAAATATTGAACATCATACCCAGCAGGTAATTTTTCAGCCCTTGGCTCCCTCTTACCCTCCTCCCTTTTGGAGGCCTTAGTGTTTATTGTTTCCATCTTCATGTCCATGTGTATTCAGTGTTTAGCTCCCACTTATAAGTGAGAACATGGGATATTGGGTTTTCTGTTTCTGAGCTAGTTCACTTCGGATAATTGCATCCCTGCTGCTTCAAAGTACAGAATTTCATTCTTTTTCACGGCTGTGTAGTATTCCATGGTGTATATATACCACAGTCTCTTTACCTGCCTCGAATGCCCGTCCCCCAGAGATTTCTTTTTTTTCTTTTCTTCTTTTTGAGATGGAGTTTCACTCCTGTTGCCCAGGCCGGAGTGCAATGGTGCAATCTCGGCTCACTGTAACCTCCACATCCTCGGTTCAAGCAATACTCCTGCCTCAGCCTCCAAAGTAGCTGGGATTATAGGCATGTGCCACCAAACCTGGCTAATTTTGTATTTTTAGTACAGACGGGGTTTCACCATGTTGGCCATGCTGGTCTCGAATTCCTGACCTCAGGTCATCCACCCGCCTCGGCCTCCCAAAGTGATGGGATTACAGGTGTGAGGCACCATGCCCGGCCTTCCCCCAGATTTTCAAATGACTGGTGCTTATCATCCACTGCTAGCTCATGTGTCATCTCTTCAGTGAAGCCTTTCTTGGCCACCTAATCTAAATAAGCTCCCTGGTCACTCTCAGTCACTTCACTATGTTTTCTCCATGTGATACTACTATTTGGCATATTTCGTTTGTGTGATTTCAGGGAGTCAATCTCCCCCGCTAGAGTGGACACTTGACGAGAGGAAGGATTGATCGTTCTGTTTTAGGTCACACTCCAGCTTCTGAAATAGTGCCTGGCACCTAGTAGATGCTCAATAAATCATGCAAAAGCAAGGATGGATGGATATAGAGACCAGCTGATAATCCATTCCAGCAAATTTTGTCCATTTCACAGCCTTGCCTGTCCTTCCTCCCAGGAACCAGGACACTAGGACAATTTCTCTTTTCTCAAAGGGCTGTCCCAGAAGCCCCCCATCCCCCAGCGTGCTCCAGCCCCGGGCTGACCTTCACGCACCTGCAGGAAGGTCTGTTCCAGTTTGATGAAGCTGGTGAGACTGGCCTTAGCAGCTATCTGCTGGGTGCTGATGTGAAAATGATGCTCCTCCACGCCCAAGGCGAACATGCTCTGAACTTCACCCTTGGAGTGGCGTAGCTGGGTCAGGAAAAAAACAAAAAAATACGATAGAGCTCCTTATCAGGGCTCTGGTGGAACATTCCAGCAGATGCTGGCTCTAGGCTGAGGGCTCTGCCTCCCAAAGTCCCAGGTCCAAAAGACCCACAGATCCCTGGGATGGATGAACTTTGATGATGTCAGGGTTTGAAGCCACAGGTTAGGCCATCAAGTGTGTCCATAGCAACTATATCCTTATGCCCTCCCCACTGTAACACTGACTTGAAAATATCTACCAGCCTGGCACCAGCAGGCAAGAATTCTAGTTGTAGTACTGTTGCAGACAGCAGGGGGCAGTCTAGCAGAAATAACTATACTTGGGCATGTGTCAGCATCAAACACAACAGAACTCCAAGTGTGGATCTACCACTGAGAGGTGAGTGATCTCCAGCTAGTTTCTTAACCATTCGAGCCTTCTAATCCAAAAACACGGATAAGGACACCTATTTTATTATGGGTTGTTGTGAAAATTGTATGAAATGCTAACTTCCAGGTTGTCTGAAAAGCACTGGTCGGGGGGAACTTACTAAAAATATAGATTCTGGGCTCCCACTTAAAACCTACAAAAATGGAGTCTCTGGGCAGATGTTCAAGAGCTGTTTTTTTGTTTGTTTGTTTGTTTGTTTGTTTTTGAGAAGGTGTTTTGCTCTGTTACCCAGACTGGAGTGCAGTGGCACAATCTTGGCTCACTGCAACCTCTGCCTCCCAGGTTCAAGTGATTCTTCTGCCTCAGCCTCCTGAGTAGCTAAGACTACAGGCATGCACCACCATGCCCAGCTAATTTTTGTATTTTTAGTAGAGACGGGATTTCACCATGTTGGCCAGGCTGGTCTCAAACTCCTGACCTCAGGTGACCCACCCACCTCAACCTCCCAAAGTGCTAGGATTACAGATGTGACCCACTGCACCCATCTAAGAGCTGGTATTTTTAACGATCTCACGAAATGCATCATGACATTAGTGATACCCCGTGTCAAAAATGTTCAACTTGAATCTTCAGCAAACAATCTGACAAATCCACATTAGGAGGATGTTTTGCAAAATAACTTCCTGGACACTTCAAAATTGCCAATGTAGGACTTTTTTTTATGACAGGGACAGGCTCTGCTCTGTCATCCAGGCTAGAGTGTATAGTAGTGTGAACATGACACACTGCAGCCTCAACCTCCTGGGCTCAAGCAATTCTCCCATACCTCGACTTCCCGGGTAGCTGAGATACAGGTACACACCACCATGACTGGCTAATTTTTTAATTTTTTGTAGAGACGGGGTCTCCCTAGGTTGCAGGTTGTTTTGAACTCCTGAACTCTACTAATTCTCCTGCCTCGGCCTCCCAAAGTGTTGGGATTACAAGTGTGAGCCACTGCATCCGGTTGGGTTTTTTTTTTTAAGGTGGTTAATGACAATAAAATGTTTAGGGGGAATTGTATCTGCAACTTACTTTGAAATGTATCCAAAAATAAGATGGATGGATGAAGAGCTATGTGATTATGTGAAATAAAATGTTAACAGGAAAATCTAGGTATGTGGGTATTCAACACAAAATTACTTCAATTCTTTAGCATCTAAAAAATTATATAATAAAACGTTGGAGGGCCGGATGCAGTGACTCACGCCTGTAATCCCAGCACTTTGCGAGGCCGAGGTGGGCGGATCATTTGAGGTCAGGAGTTCGAGACCAGCCTGGCCAACATGGTAAAACCCCATCTCTATTAAAAATACAAAAATTATTCAGGCATGGTAGTGCAGCCTGTAATCTCAGCTACTCAGGAGGCTAAGGCAACAGAATTGCTTAAACCCAGGGGGCAGAGGTTGCAGTGAGCTGAGATCATGCCACTGCACTCCAGCCTGGGTGACAGAGCAAAACTTCATCTCAAAAAAAGTAAAAAAATAAACATAAAAATAAAAAAATAAAACATTGGGTAAGGAAAGGTAGGGTGTAGAAGGAGAATGTTCTAGATCAGGAGTTGCTGTTTGGGTCAAATTTGGCCCACAACCTGATTTTATAAATAAAGTTTTATTGTAACAGCCACGTCTATTCACCTACATATCCTCTATAGCTGCTTTTCTGTTACAGTGACAATTGTGAGTAGTTGTAACAGGGACCGTAAGGCCTGCAACCCCCACACATTTTACTTCACAATACAAGTTTGTAGACCTCTGTTCTAGATTAAGAAAATTTAAAAAACATGGCAACTACGCATGCTGTGTGATCTTGGCCTGCATCCCGGATTTAAAACAAAACAAAACAAAACAGTTTTTTGAAAGAACATTAGTGGGAAAGCTGGGAAATTGTATATGGGCTGTACATTAAATGAAGGTATTACTTCAACGTTCAATTTCCTGAATGTTGTAATTATTGTGTTAAATCAGAAAATATCCTTGTTACAGGAAATAGTTGAAGTATTTCAGAATAAAAAGGTGATGCCTTCAGAAACATCTCTATATTAATTCTTAACGATACAGAAAAAATATGTATCTGACGATACAAATTTATGTAAGATAGATAAGAAATATGGAAAGATATTAACAACTGGTCAATGTTCACTGTCCTACAGTAACTTTTATATAGGTTGAAATGACTCAAAATAAAACTTGGGAAAAAATTAAGACGCTCCCACAATGGAGCCTGGTGTGGTGGTACCACCTGTAGTCCCAGCTACTCCAGAGGCTGAAGCAGGAGGATCACTTGCACCCAGGAGCCTGAGGCTGCAGTGAGCTATGATCATGTCACCACACTCCAGCCTCGGTAACAGAGCAAGACCCTGTGTCAGAAAGAAGTTTTAAAAATAAAAAATAAGGCTGGGCGTGGTGGCTCATGCCTGTAATTCCAACATTTGGGAGGCTGAGATGGGTGGATCGTTTCAGGTCAGGAGTTTGCGACTTGCCTGGATATCACAGTGAAAACCCGTCTCTACCAAAAATATAAAAATTAGCCAGGCGTGGTGGTGCACGCCTGTAATTCCAGCTACTCAGGAGGCTGGGGCAGGAGAATCACTTGAACCAGGGAGGTGGAGGTTGCAGTGAGCCGAAATTGTGCCACTGCACTCCAGCTTGGGTGACAGAGACTTTGTCAAGAGAAAGAGAGAGAGAGAAAAGCAAGAAATAAAAGAAAGAAAAGCAAGAAAAGAAAGGAAAGAGAGAAAGAGAGAGAGAGAGAGAAGTTCCCTGAATGATTATGCAGTTGTAGTGAAGTTTGAGGAACTCCAAAATCCTGTGTAAATGCGGCAGGGGACCCAGCACACAGCACGCGCTCTGTAAACAAAGGCGGCCTGGGCCAGGACGGGGAGAGCCTACCAAAACAGGGTGGCTGGTAGCAAAATGAAGTGACCAGTTGGCAGATGTGACCATTCATGCATGCACTCACCTATTCATGCCCTATTTTTTACTGAACACCTACTGTGTGCTGGGCCCTGTGCCAGGCACTAGGCATGCCCTCCAGGAGCTCCAGATTTGGGCACAGACGACAGCTCAGGGGGACAGAGGAACCTGGCCTAAGTCTACTGGGCCCTCCTGTCCACTCCTACGACCCCCGCTGCAGACCTGCATGCAGGGCAGAGATGGGGGTGATACTGGCGCAGCTCCAAAGGGTTGTATCATCTGCTCCAGCCTCTACAAGTGTGCCAGGCTGGGTGAGGCAATGCCAGGCGCCAGGCACTGGGTAAGGAGGCCTTCCCCATCTCCCGAAGGGCTCGCGGGCCTGACTGGGGGCCGCGGGGGCTGGCCCAGGAATGTAAACCTGGGTGTGTTTGGGAAAGCTGGAGCCAGGGGTTTCCGAGGGTTGCCCACCGGAGCCTGTTGCAGGCTGGCGAACAGATGTGCATGCGTTAACACTCCCCAGAGGGGCCTGGCTCCCTCCCACCTTGGGCTGGGCATCTGGAACCAGTTAGAAGCCAGGCAGCTGGGGCACAGTTACCTTAGCTGAGGCTGAGGCAGAGCTGGGGCAGCGACCCAGGAGGGAGGGGAGGCGATGCTGGCCTGAGAACAGCAGCTCTTTGCTAGAAGGAAAAAAGAGAAGGCCTGAAGCTGGCGAGATGGCACCTTGTCCAGCGCCCCTAGGGCCAGGTCGAGACCAAGTCGACTTCCCCAAAAGAGGGTCAGAGAGCCAGGATCACATCAGTGGCCTAATGCAGGGCTATTCACACACTCCAAGGTCCAAGGACCATATGGTGCCCTGGTTAGGGCTGGACTCTGGAGCCAAGTTACCTGGATTTGACTCCCGGCTTGGCCTCTGCCTAGCTCTGGCACCAGGGGCAAGCTTCTTGGTTGCCCCTCTCTGAGCCTCAGTTTCCCCATTGGTATCAAGGGTTAAGCATGGCTCTGGGCTTCAAGTCTTCCATGAGCCCATCAGTGAGCTTTCTTGGGTTGGTCCCTTGGGAGCTCCAGCAGGGTGTGGACAACAGGATTTTAACCCCCTGGCTCCCTCCCAGGGATCCTCCTCACGTAGCACCCCTCCCCTCACTCCTCCAGGCCAGGGTGGTTATGGTCTGCACGTTTTTCTTTCTTTCTTTTTTTCTTCACTAGGCACAGGGTCTTTCTCTGTCAGCCAGGCCGGAGTGCAGTGGTGCCATCTCTGCTCACTGCAGCCTTGATCTCCCAGACTCAAGTGATCCTCCCGCCTCAGCATCCTGAGCAGTTGGGACTACAAGCATGCATCACCATGCCAGGCTAATTTTTAAGATTTTTTTGTAGGCTGGATGTGGTGGCTCACGCCTGTAATCCCAGCACTTTGGGAGGCCGAGGTGGGCAGATCACGAGGTCAGATTGAAACCATCCTGGCTAACACAGTGAAATCCCGTCTCTACTAAAAATACAAAAAATTAGCCGGGCATGGTGGCGGGCACCTGTAGTACCAGCTACTGGGGAGGCTGAGGCAGAAGAATGGCATGAACCCAGGAGGCGGAGCTTGCAGTGAGCCGAGATCATGCCACTGCACTCCAGCCTGGGTGACAGAGCAAGACTCCGTCTCAAAAAAAAAAAAAAAAAAAGGTTTTTTGTAGTGATGGGGATCTCACTATATTACCCAGGCTGGCCTCGAGCTCCTGGGCTTAAGCAATCCTCCCACCTCGACCTCCCAAAGCACTGGGATTACAGGTGTGAGCCACTGTGCCAGGCCTGTCTCCCATGTTGCTAATTCCAGGGTGCTGTACCCTCCTATCAGGTTCCTCTCCACCTCCACGTCTCAGCCTTGGCACGGTTGTTGGCTCATGGACTTCACAGTCGTGGGTGTGTCCTGAGCACTGTAAGATGCTTAGCAGCATCTGTGGCCCCTATACACTGACCCTCATAGTGTCATCCTCCCCGGTGTAGCAACCAGAAATTCCCCAGGCTTTGCTGAAAGTCCCTGGGGGGAATCTCGCCCCTAGGTGAGAACCATTGATCTATCCCTTCAACAAGTGGCTTGTTCACCCCCTCCCTCACTGCTGAGACCCGGGCCCTAGAGCCTGGCTGGTGGCCCCTGACTTAGTGCACACACAGGAGCACCAAGCACCTCACCAGGCCCCCAGCCCTAAGGGCACTAATAGTTACTAATAAGTGTTTGGGGCCTGGGATGCACTTCGTTTCTGAGGCCAAGAACGCATCAGTTCCCTGCCTGGAGAGGTTGAGGGATTTTTACAGCTGTGTGACCTTGGAAAAGTCGCTTGGCCTCTCTGAGCCTTCGTACCCATATTTATGCAGCAGGGCTGAGCAGAGGATTGAGAGGGGCTGTGTCCAGCGATGGTGCACAGTAGGTGCCCAGCCAATGGTTCCTCCCCCGACTCCTCTCCTCCTGGGGGCCCCCCTCACCTGACTGCCTGGTTCTGGCCACGGACGTCAAGGACCAAGGTGGCCTGAGAATCACAGGTCAGCTGCAGCGAGGAGCTCATCTCTTCTGCCTCCCAGAGTCCTTGGAACACGAGCTGAGGAGGGAGCAGGCTGTGAGATGTGCGGATGTAGACAGCCTGAGGAGCCTCACAGGCCTGGTGGGGACCCCAGCCAAGCTCTATAGCACAGCACGTCCTTGTCCCCAACCCCAGCATGGCCTGGGAGCCACAGAAGCCCTGCAGGCTCGACTCATCCAACACTCTCATAGATGCTGATGCAGGGCCACGGTCGGCCCCGATTGCAGCTGAGGTTGGCAGTACCCACCGAGGGAGCCCAAAGGACAGCTGCAGCCCAGACATTGGCAGAGCATGTGCTCCCTAGAGGACTCCGTGTCACCTAACCTCGAGGCCAGGAAAGGGTTTAGATGAAGTCAGGGGCACGGGGTATCCAGTCCACTCAGCTGTGGGGTACCGGGCAGAGATCCTTTGCAGGAGGGGTGACAGCCTGGCCCCCTGACCCGCCGGGAGCTGCCCCTACTCCCACAGCAGAATGGAGTGGGGCAGGGGTTGCTGGGTAACCTGAAACAGGCTGGGAAAGAAGCATTAATGCCTGGCTCTGGAATACGCTCTGTGTTGGAGAAGGAGGACCCAGCTAGGCAGGACGAGCTCTACCAAGTGACAGTGGTCAGGTCATGGCCCCATGTGGGTTCCTCTTCTCCGAGGCAGGAGGACACCAAGAGGAAGAGCCAGGGTGCCAAGTCTGAGTCCCTATTTTGCTGCTTACTTGCTAGATGACCTTGGGCAAGTCGCCCACACTCTCACATGTGACCCAGAGATGATGATGATAATAGTCATCGTCACACCATCAGCATCATCTTCCCCTTCATCACAACAGGTGCTTCTTAAGCATCTACGCAGGCATTAATGGGATTAACTCACTCGATCCTCACAACCTCCACATTATAGGTAATATCATCGTCCCCATTTTTCAGATGAGGAGATGAGGGCACAGACAGGTGAAGGAGTTTGCCCAAGGCCACACAGCTGGCAAGCAGCAGGGCTGGGATCTGAACACCAGAGAAGGCCTTCGTAAGGATGGTACCATCCTGCCTGTCTCTGGGGCGTTAGGAGGATGAGACTAACGAACGCCCATCATCCCTTTAAAGGGGGCTGGGCACGGGGCAGGCGCTTGACAAGCAGGAGCTTTGATTCTGACCCAAGACTGCAGGGCAGAAGTACGCAGGCCAGGAGCCAGGAGAGGCCCCGGGCACCCACCCACGCCAGCCCTGTGATTGGGAACGCAGAGACTGCTCAGCAGACCTCAGCAGTTACAGCAATTATGAAGGAAGCCTTTGTAAACTGTAAAGTACTGGGGAAACCCAAGGCCTGGTCGTCCCCACCCACCCTGCACACAGTGGGTCCTCTGCACACCAGGAACTGGACAGAAGGGACAGAATTTGGAGGGAGGTCCTGCCCCACCCACTCCTTACCTGGTTGGTGAAGGGCAGGCCCAGCCTCTGGAGAGCAGGCACTGCATGGCTGGCATTGGCCACCAGCTGCAGTGGGCCATATAGTGGCCAAGCCACCAGGGCTGCCAGGTCCATGCTGACTCCACTGTCCCTGCCACGGAGGGCTATCGTGGCCTGGGTCTGGGTCTCTAGAGGCAGAGAATGGCATGGGCTACTGAAGACAGGTTCACCTCCCTTCCCAGTCCAGGAGCACACCAGACTGTGGGAGAGGCCATGCCCTGTGGCCCTCAAACACAACACCAGCAGGAAAGGGCAAGGCTGCCACAGCGTGGGGGCTGGGTGGGGTCAACCATTTTGAGCCTCCTTGACATCACCTATCATAATGTGTCCCTGAGGATCTAGGTCTGGGTGTCTCCTTCTCTCATTGAAGTTGAAGTTGCTGAAATGACACCTCCTCCAAGAAGCCTCCCCTGACTGCACATCTGAAGTCCCTCCCAATCCTTTGCTGCCAGGCATCCTCCATCCCATCTCCCTGGAGTGTGGTTCCCAGCACAACCTGAAATGACCTCACTCACTCACTTTTTGGGTCCCTGCTCCCCATACTCTCACCCCACCAGAAGCTCAGTCCCTGGGGGCGGGGTTTCTCTTAGGACAGCTCCTGACACACAGCGGGGGTGCAGTGAGTGCTTTCTGAATGATGCGGGATGAAAGGCTTCTCTGCAGGGATTCCTGAGGATTATCCGAGTAGCCTGCAGAGGAATCAGCATGAGGTGTGCTCTCCACAAATGGCCACTGCGGCCACTGACTTCCACCTGCAGCCACCCGGCCCTGGCTGCAGGGTCCCGTCCCTCCCATCACCCCCTGCAGAACGGGAGATTCTGGCTCACAGGTAGGAATTTCTTCTTTAACTTAAATTCCCTTTGCTACACAGAGAAATCCATCACGTCCGGGAGTCCCAGAGCAAACAGATGGCGCCTACTCTACGTCAGACGCCAGGTTCCCGTGGGGTGCAGCTCACCGCTTGGGCTCAGGCCCAGGTGACACTCAGCCAGGCTCCAGCACCTCCCATCTGGCCAGCAGGGTGGATGAGCTCCACAGCTCTGAGCCTCACCTTCCTTATCTATGAGGTGGGCATAGTCCGCCCGCCTCAGGGGATAGCGTCCAGAGTGAATGGGGTAACACACGGGAGAGGACCACTTATGGGACATGCAGAAGGCCTCAGGAAAGGCTTCCTTCCTTCCTCGTTCAACATTCAACCACATGTACCTACTATGTGCAGGGCATGAGGAGAGGGGACACAATCCCCACGCCCGGGAGCACCGGGCTGTCAGAGACACCAGGAATGTTAACGACAGGCAGAAAGCGTCCCGAGAGGTGGCGACAGCAGACTGTGGACAGC